GAACAGAACTTCACCTCAAAAAAAAAAAAAGAATCAAGTTCTCAACAAACTCAGCGAAGCACAGTGGAACTGTTCACAAACCCAGGTTCTGTTTTTATTTCTCTGCCACAAGCAGGAACAAGACACAACACAGATCTGTAAACTAATGCTCTTTGCTAAATCCTTGAGGGCAAGAATAAACAGATAGACGAAGTCTATCTGTTTCACCTCAAAAGGCTTCAGGTTTTACCTTTGTAAAATTCTACGATTCAAAATTTATGTTTCCATCTTAAAATAAGACGGAAAACAAGGTTATGTGACACTAATCAAGAAGGTATACTATGAATTGTAAAATTCCAATGTCAAGTTTCCATTCTCCATATACTCTTCTACATTTATAATCTAAAGAAGCAACTACTAAAATACTGTACAAGGCATTGAAAAAATTTAACAATGTAAGACATTACTTATGTCATTAAACCTAAAACAAACCATAAAACCTAAAATGTGGCCTGGCGCAATGGCTCATGCCTGTAATCCCAGCACTTTGGGAAGCCGAGGTGAGCATATCACCTGACGTCAGGAGTTTTGAGACCAGCCTGACCAACATGGTGAAACCCCGTTTCCACTAAAAATACAAAAATTAACCAGGTGTGGTAGCAGGCACCTGTAGTCCCAGCTACTCGGGAGGCTGAGGCAGGAGAATTGCTTGAATCCAGGAGGCAGAGGTTGCAGTGAGCCGAGGTCACGCCACTGCACTCCAGCCCGGTGCCTGGCAACAGAGCAAGACTTGTCTCAAAAAAAAAAAACCTAAAATGTTTCAACCTCTCTCTTAAGAGAGATGTCTTTAATTTTTCTAAAACATCTTTAGTTTGTAGCTATACACAACCCAGTATGTTACACATGACAAATTTCTTTTTCTCCCCAGCAGTAACATGTCTGACAGGTAAAAATGCACAACTTACCAAAAATACACATTTGGAAACTATGAAAATCTAACTTTTTTTTCATTCTACCATACACTTCACTTCAGGCCCAACTTAGTAGTTTCAATTCTGCTTGTCCTCTATTTCTAGTCAATTTCATTGCTGAATTTTCCACCACAAAGAATTGTGATCTGTGGAGAAATTGTAAAGTAAACACTAAATAAACATAACTTTTCCTTTTAAAAGAAAACTCATTTTCACAGGAAAAAGAGAAACAAACAGAAAAGAACATAAATTCCTAACAACACGTCACATAAAAATAATGATTTCAGGATGCTGATATCAAGTTTCTTAAGCTTCCTCATATTGTTTTATTTAAAAGCTCCAAAGCAGCACAAAAATTGCCATCAATTTATTTTGTAGATACTCAATTATGCATTACATTTTTTCTTCGAGTTACAAGGGGCTCAATAAATATTTGCAGAAGGAATAAATGCATACAGCATGGTACTACATTGCGTGAGGCTCACATTCCTGATAAGATCAACAGCCTTGCCAACAAAACTGATTTTTTTAATAACAGAAAGATGATTAAATTAGATTAACAAAAGTAGAGTATCCAAATAAACATAAATATATGAAGGGAAAATATTTATCCTGTACTGAGAAATCAAACTTTAGATCTACTTTTCTGCTTCTATCATATTTTTTTTTTTTTTGGTATGGGTTTCAATATCATTGAATCCAATCTTTCCTTCTTCTCTTTAGTCTGTAAAGTTCTTCGAGGGAAAGATTCATAAACAAAAAGACTGTACATGAGTTCCTACTAAATCATCAGCAGAGTGTCAGGCACAAGTGCTGTGGGAAATAAAATATAAAGCCTGATGGTCCCAAATTTTGAGATAATTAAAACTTTTTACCAGAACCCAGCAAAGAATGAGTCTCCAGGGCAAATAGGAAACACCTTGAATGTAGTCCCTGTGTTGACATTCTGTGTGACTGTAAGTTACCAGCTAAGCGCAGTGGCTCATGCCTGTAATCCCAACACTTTGGGAGGCCAAGACAAGAGAACGGCTTGAAGCCAGGAGTTAGAGACCAGCCTGGGCAATATAGCAAGACCCTCCCCATCTCTACAAAAATAAAAATGAAAATGAAAAAAATGAGCCAGGCATGGTGGTATGCACCTGTGATCCCAGCTACTTGGGAAGCTAAGGCATATACTTGAGCCCAGGAGCTGGAGGCTGCAGTGAGCCATGATTTAATCTCTCAAGCAGAAAAATTCCAAATAATTTATGCAGATACTCTACCCTCAAGAAGAGGGAGCACAAATCTCACTCAAGTGTGGACTACACATAGTGACTTCCTTCTGAAGGGGGGGGGGGGAAAGAGTAACCTTACAGCAGAGAAACCTGACAAACACTACCTGTGGCCCTGTAATTTATAATAATAAATACATACTTTGGTCTTTGAACACAGTTCCTGGTACAGAGCTCTTAAAACCCCTATAATTCCCTGGGAGTCACAGGTGTGCTAGGAGAATCTTTTCATTTAATATTTGGTCTTTGACCCCAGTTCCAGATACAACGCCTAGTCCCTCAGAATTTCCTAGGTGATAGGAACATCCTTTGTTCTAACAAGGCAATTCTTGGTGGGCTCCTAGAAGAAGGATGGTCACCAGAAAGACCAAGCCATGATCAGAAGCTTGGAATTTTCAGCCCCACGCCCCATCCTCCAGGAAGTAGAGAGGGGCTGAAGACTGACTTAATAACTGATCATGCCTACAAGATGAAGCCTCCATAGAAATCACAGAACTACAGGTTTTGGAGAGCTTCTGGGTTGCTGAACATGTGGAGGGTGGAGCGGCCATGAGAGGGCATGAAAGCTCTGGGCCATTTCCCCCATACTGTTCCCTATGCATATCTTCCATCTGGCTGTTCATCTGTATCCTGTGTAATAGCGTTTATTTTAAAAAACAATAAATGCAAGCAAGGTGTTTTATTGAGTTCTGTGAGCTGCTCTAGTAAATGACTGAGCCTAAGGAGGGGAACACAGGAACTCCCAACTTATAGTTTGTCAGAAGTTCCAGAGACCTAGACTTATGACTGGCATCTGAAGTGGGGGACAGTTTTATGGGACTGTGCTTTTAACTTGTGGAATATGATATTAACTCTAAGGAGATCGTGGCAGAATTGAACTGAATCATAGGACACCATATTGGTGTTCACACAAGGATTGCTGGGTGTGTGGGGAAAAGGCCCCACACGTCTAATGTCAGAAGGGTTATGTTGAGAGTATAATAGGAGAAAACAGCTAGTTTGCTTTTCCTATAACATGCTGCCTTAGCTGGTGATGTGATAAAAGTATCAACAGTGATAAACTGGCCAGGCATGGTGGCTAACGCCTACGATCCCAGCACTTTGGGAGACCACAGTGGGTGGATCACTTGAGGTCAGGAGTTTGAGACCAGCCTGGCCAACATGGTGAAACCCCATCTCTACTAAAAATACAAAAAATTAGCCAGGTACGGTGGCAGCTGCCTGTAATCCCAGCTACTCAGGAGGCTGAGACAGAAGAATAGCTTGAACCCAAGAGGCTGAAGTTACAGTGAGCCAAGATTGAGCCATTGTACTCTAGACTGGGCAATAAGAGTGAAACATCTCAAAGAACAACGACAACAGTGAAAAATCATGTTAATAATATGTACATAGGCCGGGCGCGGTGGCTCATGCCTATAATCCCAGCACTTTGGGAGGCCGAGGCAGGTGGATCACGAGGTCAAGAGATCGAGACCATCCTGGTCAACACGGTGAACCCCCATCTCTACTAAAACTACAAAAAATTAGCTGGGCATGGTGGCGCATGCCTGTAATCCCAGCTACTCAGGAGGCTGAGGCAGGAGAATTGCCTGAACCCAGGAGGTGGAGGTTGCGGTGAGCCGAGATCGCGCCATTGCACTTCAGCCTGGGTAACAAGAGTGAAACTCCGTCTCAAAAAAAAAAAAAATATATATATATATATATATGTACATAAAATATGATGAAAATGGCACTTTACCTCTTAGTCTTGCTCCCAAAACACCACCACCCCAGTCTAATCATAAGAAAAAACATCTATTCCAATAGAGTAGCATCCTACAAAACACCTGACCAGTACTCAAACTATCAAGGCCATCAAAAACAAGGAAAATCTGAGGAACTGCCACAACTAAGAGAAGACAAGAGATAAGACAACTAAATACAACATGGTATCCAGATTGGATCCTGGCACAGCTCATGCCTATAATCTCTTGATCTCTTGAGCCCAAGAATTTGAGACCAGAGTGAGATTCATTTCTACAAAACATTTTCAGCCAGGCGTGGTGGCTCACGCCTGTAATCCCAGCACTTTGGGAGGCCAAGGCGGGCTGATCATGAGGTCAAGAGATCAAGACCATCCTGGCCAACATGATGAAACTGTCTCTACTACAAAAAAAAATACAAAAATTAGCTGGGCGTGGTGGTGTGCACCTGTAGTCCCAGCTAATTGGGAGGCTGAGGCAGCAGAATCGCTTGAACCCAGGAGGCAGAGATTGCAGTAAACTGAGATTACGCCACTGCACTATAGCTTGGCAACAGAGCAAGGCTCCGTCTCAAACAAACAAATAAACAAAAATTTCAAATTAGCTGGGCATGGAGGCACATGCCTGTATAGTTTCAGCTACTTGTGGGGGTGCTGAGGTAGGAGGATCACTTGAGCCCAGGAGGTCAAGGCTGCAGTGAGCCATGATCATGCCACTGCACTTTAGCCTGGGCAACAAAGTGAGACCCTGTCTCAAATAAGCAAACAAAGGAACCAACAAGAGATGAATGAATAAACAAAATGTAGTATATACATACAACGGAATACCATCCACCGTAAGTGAAATTCTAACATACCCTACAATACGGATGAAACTTAAAAACATCACAAAGTGAAGTAAGCCAAACACAAAAGGACAAACAGTATATAATGCCACTTATATGCGGTACCCAGAGTAGTCAAATTCACAGAGACAGAAAGTAGAACAGAATTTACCAGGGGCTGGGGGAGGCAAGAATGGGAGTTGTTTTCTGTTTGGGATGATGTAAACATTCTGGAAATACACAGTGATGATGGTTCTATAACATTAAGTATGTTTTTAATGCTACTATATTGTATAATTAAAAATTATTTAAACAGCAAATTTTTGTTGTGTATATATTTAATCACATTTAATCACAGGCATCCAGGCTGGAGTGCAGTGGTACGATCAGGGCTCACTGCAGCCTTGACCTCCCAGGCTCAAGCAATCTTCCTACCTCAGCCTCCCAAAGTGCTGGGGTTAACAGGCATGACTCACCAGGCCTGGCCACAGTTGTTTAAAACTAAGAAAATCTAAATGAACTATGGACTTTTTTAGTCAATAATATATTAATTTGGTATGTAAATTGTAACAAATATACTACACTTTAAAGCAGATGTTAAGAATAAGTGAGGCCGGGAGCAGTGGATCATGCCTATAATCCCAGCACTTTGGGAGGCTGAGGTGGGCGATCACCTGAGGTCAAGAGTTCAAGATCAGCCTGGCCAACATGGCAAAACTTAGTCTCTACTAAAAATAGAAAAATTAGCCAGGCGAAGTGGCGCACACTTATAATCCCAGCTACTCGAGAGGCTGAGGCAGGAGAATCACTTGCACTTGAGAGGCAGAGATTGCAGCAGTGAGCGAAGATCGCACCACTGCACTAGTAGAGCCTGCGTGACACAGCGAGAGTCCATCTCAAAAGAAAAAAAAAAAAAAAGCATAAGTGAAACTAGTTGTAGAGTATATGGGAACTTTCTATATTATCTTCTCAGTTTTTCAATAAATCTAAAACTGTTCTGACTGGGCACAGTGGCTCACGTCTATAATCCCAACACTTTGGGAGGCCAAGGCAGGAGGATTTCTTGGGGCCAGGAGTTTGAGACCAGCCTGGGCAACACAGCAAGCCCCCATCTCTGCAAAAACAATGTAAAAATTAGCTGGGCGCCAGGCATGGTGGCTCATGCCTGTAATCCTAGCACTTTGGGAGGCCGAGGTGGGTGGATCACCTAAGGTCAGGAGTTCAAGACCAGCCTTGCCATCATGGTGAAATCCCATCTTGAGAAAAAAAAAATTAGCTGGGCATGGTGGCACATGCCTATAGTCCTAGATACTAGGAGAGGCTGAGGCAAGACAATCACTTAAGCCCAGGAGGTTGAGGCTTCAGTGAGCCAATGATCAGACCACTGCACTCCAGGCTGAGCAACGGAACAAGACCTTGTCTCTAAAAAAATAAAAATAAAAAAGTAGAAATACTTTTTTTTCGAGACGGAGTTTCACTCTTATAGCCCAGGCTGGAGTGCAATGACGCCATCTCAGCTCACTGCAACCTCCACCTCCGGGGCTCAAGCGATTCTCCTGCCTCAGCCTCCGGAATAGCTGGGATTAGAGGCACCTGCCATCATAACTGGCTAATTTTTGTATTTTTAGTAGCGATGGGGTTTCACCATGTTGACCAGGCTGGTCTCAAACTCCTGACCTCAGGTGATCCACCTGCCTTGGCCTCCCAAAGTGCTGGTATTACAGGCATGAGCCACCATTCTTGGCCAAAAATAGAAAAAAAATAGTTTCTTTGTGGGCTAGGCATGGTGGTTCACGCCTGTAGTCCCAGCACTTTGGGAGGCCAAGGTGGATGGATCACCTGAGGCCAGGAGTTCAAGACCAGTGTGTCAACATGGCGAAACCCCATCTCTACTAAAAATACAAAAATTACCTGGGCAAGGTGGTGCACACCTGTGGTCCCAGCTACCCAGAAGGCTGAGGCAGGACGATCACCTGAACCCAGAGGAGCAGGTTGCTGTGAGCAGAGATTGTACCACCTCATTCCAGCCTGGGTGACAGAGTAAGACTGTCTCAAAAATCAAAAACAAAGAAAATGTGTGACTAATTCTTGCTTAAATTACAATATAGTAAGATCACATAGAAGCAAAAGGAGACAAAATTAACAGTCCCATCTGACACAGTCAAGGAGCTGATATGGATTATAATTAGTACTCATACATGGAAAAGTTCAGGAGTTTGCAGTATTAACTTTTTAAGCATTACAGCCACTTCTAGAATCAACAGGACTTAATGAAGATTGGAATAAATGAGTCAATAATAACAAGGATACTCTCTATCCTAAAATGAAAATATACCTGCCGGGCGCGGTGGCTCAAGCCTGTAATCCCAGCACTTTGGGAGGCC